AAATCTGATTATCTCAAAATTCGACGAAATTTGTCTGGGTAACTAGATTTGGTGAGACGAATCCAACGGTGAGGTCCGTTTCATCATCCGAGGTCTATAAAAATACCAGTTTTTTTTAACCCACACTATAATGGCAAATTACCATTTTACCATTTTTTTCAGAAAAAGTTAAAATTTTTCCGGGTTTCACATTCTTCCTCCCTTAAAAGAATTTCGTCCCCGAAATTCACATACACATGCACATACAATCACATGCATATACAACAGTCAATTAATGCTAAATGACCAGAAGAATGTACCTCCATCCTCGAACAAGAAAGGATAACTAGTACGGACAGTGTCCTCGCGCTCCCATGTCGCCTCCTCTACTCCTCGATGCTGCCACAGTACCTTCACTAGCCGCACAGTCTTGCCTCGCAAAACCTGTTCCCGGCTATCCATGATGCGCACCGGTCCCTCCTCGAAAGTCCCATCAGCATCAACAACAAGCTCTCCCCAATCCACCACATGAGTCGGATGTGGGGTGTACTTCCGAAGCATAGAGACATGGAATACTGCATGAACATGCGATGCTAGATTGCCGCAAAAGCAAACGGGAAGAAGAAGATAAAATGGGAAAACAGGCGTATAGCCCTAAGGAGGAAGGGAAACAGAAAACTGGGATTTTGAAGAAAGGTCAAGACCTCAAGGGGAAGGAAAAGGAATGGCAGAAAGTTACAAGAAAAGGGGGTCCCAAAGTAACCGTGGAGGAGGGTCACCAAGTTCCTAATAGTTTATTGTATCCTAATGGCTTAAGTGAAGAAGGAGTTATTGCGGCTAATAAATTCAATGTGCTAAACGGGGATCATTCGGGCAAGGATGTAGGAGAGGAGGAAAATGCTGAAATGGAGAATCATAACGGTACTCCAATAATTGAAAATAGCACCACTGGAGGATTAGAAGCAAAAGAAAAAGAGGACTTGTCCCTCTCAACGTCTAATCATGAAGGAATTCAAGGAGTAGGAGTGGAAAATGAAATGTCTTCAAATGCAGGAAGTCCATCACGGAGCTTTGAGGGCATGAAGGTCTACGAGGTTATCGGCACTCCCTCTCAAACTCAGGGGACAGGGCCTGATGAGGTGCAGCAAACGGTTGGTATAATAGTGTGATTATTGAATAAACAATCTCTTTCTTCTACCTCTTCTTCCTTCCTTGTGGATCATTCATACGAGCCTAGAGGAAAACAAATTTGCACCGTAGATGATGATAATGGGCTGATAAGGGACAAAGAGCCACCAGACAAGGGCTTTTACTCTGACCAAGAAAGCTCAGAGAACTGGGCTGATTTAAGTGAGGCTGCCTTTGGTCCAATGGTACTCCTTGCCTTGTGAAAGCTTTGCCTTCTTGAGGTCAAGGGTTCAAGTCCCCCTTCCCCCTTACCTCCCCAAAAAAAAAAAAGTGAGACTGCTGCTGATGATGAAATTCAGGGAATGATCCTGCTTAATCAAGTTTTAGAGAACATTTCTAACTCCAGTACTGGGGGTAGTCCCAGAGGTAATGCTGAAACCACTTCTTTATGATGAATTTTATTATGTGGAATGTAAGGGGAGCTGGGAAAGAAAGCTTAAGAAGCAGATTAAAGAAATTGATTGTGATGAACAAGGTTAGTCTACTGGCCGTTATTGAACCAAAGATGTCTACAACGAAATTAAGAAATTTTGGTCTTGCTGTGGGGTTAAATTCTTATATGGCAAACACAATGGCAGAGAAAAATATGTGGTTACTATGGAATGACAACTTGGAAGTAAAGAAAATGCTGGACTTTGAACAAGCAATGACTGTGTCTATCTCCTACCAGGGTGCTGATCCTGTTTTGATAACCGTGGTGTACAGATGTTGTGAGTATTTGTTAAGAAGACCTCTGTGGGAGCACCTAAAATTTATCTCTGCATCTTTTGATATGCCCTGGCTGGTTATGGGGGACTTTAATATTGTGATGAGATCAAATGAAAGAATGGGGGGGGCTTCTCCTTCAGTGTTGGCAATGGATGAATTTGGGGAATGTATTCAATCGGAGGGTCTTATTGACTGTGGTTATGGAGGGAATAATTTCACTTGGTGTAATGGTCATCATGGAGGGACTAGAATGTGGCAAAGGATCGACAGAATGTTTATCAACACGGAATGGAATGCCAAGTTTCAGATTTCTCAGGTCATGCATTTGGCAAGAGGATGCTCTGACCATTGCCCCATGTTGATCAAGATTGCGGAGAATGATGGCCAACAAAGAATTTCTTATTTCAATTTTCTGGATATGTGGGTTGAGGATTAGTAGCATGCAATTGGAGTGGAAGTTACGCAGGGAACCCAATAGAGAATCTCTTTCTCAAACTGAAAATGCTTAAGCTCAAAATCAAAAAGTGGAACAAGGAGGTTTTTGGAAATATCTTTGAAAAGATTAATAAACAAGAGTTGGCACTGAGGGAGGCCGAAAGAAGTGTGGATGATAACTACTCGGAGGCTACTGTTTCTAACTTGGAAGCTGCAAGAAAGAATTTAGAGGACACCCTTAGATTGGAGGAAATGTACTGGAGACAAAAAGCTAATGCTAAATGGGCACTACAAGGGGAGAGGAACACCAAATTTTTTCACGCTTTGGCCAAAGGTAAGGCTATGAGGAATAGATTGTTGAGAATTAAAGGTGAAGATGGGGAATGGTGTGAATCTGAAGAGGAAATTGCTCAAAATGCCGTTTCTTTTTTTGCAAAACTGTACAAAACAGAAGACCATAGACTTGATGATGAGTTATTTGGGGTCATTCCTAAGCTTGTTGGACTAGGGGATAATGAGAAATTGACTATGGCTGCTACCTCCCTAGAATTGAAACAGGTTGTCTTCTCTATGTTTGTGGAAAGTGCTCCTAGAGCTGATGGATTTTCTGGTAAATTCTTCCAAGTTGCTTGGGAAATCGTAAAAAATGACCTGTTGGAGGCAGTTAACTTTTTTTGGGTGGGGGAGAGGTCCCAAGGTCTGTAAATTCAACTCTCCTTGTTTTGATCCCTAAAGTGGCAAAGCCTAGCACTTTTACAGAGTTTAGGCCGATAAGCCTCTGCAATTTCCTGTATAGTCTTTACCATGGTTCTCTCCAATAGACTTGTTGTCCTTCTTCCTTCTCTGATCTCTAATCCACAACATGGCTTTGTCAAAGGGAGAGGGATTGGAGATTGCATCTCATTAGCTCAGTTAATGGTTGGAGAACTTGATCGAAAGGTTGAGGCTGGCAATGTGATTCTAAAATTGGATATGATGAAGGCGTACGATCGCATTGAGTGGGACTTTCTACAAAAAACTTTAGAATGCTTTGGCTTTTCAAATCTACTTGTCTCTATCATTGGCAAATGCTTGAAGAATCAATTTTTCTCGGTTTGCTTGAATGGGAAAAGATTTGGGTATTTTCCTTCATCTAGAGGATTGAGACAAGGTGACCCGATCTCCCCAGCTCTCTTTATTCTAGCAGAGGAAGTGTTAAGCAGGGGCTTGACGAGGCTGTATGGTGATGGTAGGATCAAGGCCTTTCATGCAGAAAGGGGTGCTCTTCTTGTTTCTCATCTGTTTTTTGCAGATGATACTCTGCTGTTTCTTAAGGGAAATAAACTCTCCATGGAACGAATGATGAAGTTTTTGACTAGATATGAGAATAGCTCTGGGCAGAGAATAAACAAGCATAAAAGCTCTTTAATTTGCTCGTCCAAAATTCCTGGGGGCAGGAAAATGGCTTTATCCAGAATTGCTCAAATTCCGATTAAAAAGTGTCCCTTCATCTACCTGGGCTGTCCAATGATAAAAGGAAGATATAAATTGCAGGATTTTGAGGATGTGATACAAAAGTTCAAGGCAAAACTAGAAGGGTGGTATGCATGCCTGCTTTCTAATATGGGTAGAATTGTGCTCATTCAATCGGTTCTCAATGCGATTCCTATTCATTTACTCTCTTGTCTAAGCGTACCCAAAGGCATCCTTGCGAAGTTGAAGTCATTAATGGCCTCTTTCATGTGGTCTGGCAGAATGGGTGAGAGGAAAAGGCAATGGGTTTCATGGTCGGATATTTCAAGACCGAAGCAAGAGGGAGGTCTTGGAATTCGAAAATTTGAAGACATTCAAACGGCTTTTAGATGGAAGCAGGTGTGGGGAATTCTTAAGGGTGATTCTCTTTGGGCGAGCACGTTTAAAGCTAAATTCTTAAACGGTAAACATATGTTGAGGTGTCAGGGTACTGGTAAATCTCGTACATTCCGTATGCTGCAACCTTTCTTTAGATCGGTCTTGGATAACTCCAAGGTTATGGTGGGGAATGGGAGGTTTGTGGATTTTTGGTGCTCGAACTGAACTGGATCTGGTCCTTTTCTGCTCAGGTATGGCGTCTCTCCCTTGTGCTTTCCAAGTCTGGATGCGTTATGGGCAGGTGGGGACTGGCAGTGGCAGCTTTTGGGGGTCCAGGTCTCTGATCAATTAAAGCATGAAATCCAAAATTCTGGGGTTAGAATATGCAAAAAGGAAGATCGTCTGATATGGACTTTAACCGAGTCTGGAGAGTTCAATGTAAAATCTGCTTGGCAAGCGGTGAGATCTTCGAATGACCCTGTGCCTATTGCCTCTGCGCTCTGGAACCAATCTGTCTTCCCAAGTGCAAAACTGCTGGGTTGGAAGATTCATCTGAAAGCCGTGTTAGTGGACTCAAATTTCCAATGAATTGGCGTTGAATTGGCTAGTAGATGTCCCCTGTGTCGTATGGATGTGGAATCTTCCCCTCACCTGTTCATACAGTGTGGTTTCGCTAAAGAGGTCTGGGGGAAGCTTGCTGCATTATGCGGCTTTCAAATTTTTTGCAGCTGATTCTCCTATGGTTCGTATGATGAGACTTATCAGAATATTTAAAAAACACACTGTTAGTCATAACCTGTTAAGAGGTGTTTCATTAGTGGTATTTTGGAGGTTATGGAGGGAGAGGTGCAGAAGGTTTTATGAAGGTATATCCCTCTCAGCCCATGCTGTGTTCCTTGATATTTGCTCTTCTTTGCGTCTCCAGGCTTATGGCGTTAGACCGCAGGCAATGGAAGGCATGACGGGTATGGATTTATTGAGGACTTTAAAGGTGGATATGAGGCATAAGCTAAGACCAAAGATCATTTGGGTCGACTGGTCCCCTCCTCCTTCTGGTTGTTTAAAGCTAAATGTGGATGGGGTATCGAAAGGTAATCCTGGAAGAGCCGGGGGTGGAGCTGTAGTAAGGAATGAATGGGGGCACTTAGTGTTGGCTGCTTCATTTTTCTATGGGGTTTGTTCTAATATGGAGGCTGAGCTGCGTGCTCTTAAGGATGGTTTATTATTGTATAAAAGTTATGGGCTATTAGACTATGCCCTCCAAATTGAAACTGACTCGGCGACTATGGTCCAAATGGTGTTAAAAGGACACAAGAGGGCATGGAAGTTCTGGAAGATTTGCGACAAGATCATGAGTTTATTGGAGGGCATGACTTTTAGTCTGGCTCACGTGTATAGGGAAGCGAATTACTTGGCTGATTGTTTTGCTAACCTCGCTGCTTTAGAACCTGCCTCTGAGGATTTCTCACAAGATTTGTTGATTCCTCTCCACGCCAAATTAATTCAAAAGCAGGATCGACAATGAGTTAAAGCACCAAGGAAAAAGTTGGATAATCTTTGATTATTTGCTTATATCATGATTCCATTTCATGAGCTGGGGGATTACCTCAGATGGAGCTCTTTGTTCTTGCTTGGTATTTGGCAGCTTTTTCTCATCATTGCAGCTGTGGGGAATATCCAGCTGTTTGTTTGCTGATTTGGGCAGGCGTGCACTGTTCACATAACTGTTCACGTGAACTCCTTGGTGGCTGCTGCTATTGGCTTCCTCTCAGCTGTTGGTTTTTCACGGTTCTGTTCAGCTTCATTTCTTCGCTGTCCAAGTCTACTGTTCACGTGAACAGTCTGATTCCTGCTCTGCTGAATTTTACTGATTTCCAGCTGGTTTTCTTCTGCTACTTCAGCTGGATTTCCAATTGGTTTCTTGCTCGTATGAGCCACTCAGCTGGCCTCTCTACTGTTTTTTGGGTTTGCAATGAAGGAGTGCTGGGGGCTGTGAGGTTCTGTTTTTTTCTGGCAGCTTGATATTTGGTCTATCTTGGCGGTCTTGGCAGCACTATTTTTCCTATGCAGCAGTGGGTTCTGGTCAGAAGGGGACTGTTCAAGCGACTGTTCACGTGAACTGTGCAGATGCTGCTGCAGCTGATTTTTCAGCTGTTTTATTTGATTCCTTCCTCGGTTCCTGCTGCTGCTCTTCTTTTTGAATTTTCTGGCTTTCAGCGGGCTCCCAGCTGGTTTCTCTTATGGTTTTACTGCTGCCTTTTCTGATGAATTTTAGCTGCCTTTTCTGCTCTTCCTTTTGCAGCTGCTTTTCATGCGTCTGTTCACCTGATTACAGCTGGGCTTCCATCTGGTTTTCAAATTGATTTCCAGCTGGATTTTCAGCTGCTGTTCAGCTGGTATTAATGTCACTTTTGTGCCTTCTGCTGCTCTCTATGAAGGTGTCTGTTGCAGCTGTGGGTTTTGGTTTGTTGGGCACTGTTTACGTGCTTTGTTTGGTTGCTGCTGCTGATGGGGCATCTACGGTTATGGCTCACAGGCTGCTCAGCTGGACTTTCAGCTGGTTTGGGTGATGCTGTGGGTTTTCTCAGCTGAATTCTTCAGCTCTCTTCCTTATCTCACTCTGTTGCCTTTTATTGATCAAGGATGGACTGTTTTTGCGCCATCACATGGTCCACTCTCTGCTCACCAGTTCTGTGCAGCTGGTTTCAGTTCTGGTTGAACGCTGCAGGGGTTCTGTAACACCCCGCATTTTCTTTTATATATGTATATAGATATATAGTAAATAATTGTTGTAAAAATGGGGATATGTGTAGTGATGTGTGTTTGAATTTGGTAGAATGAAAAAGGGATGAACAATGCACTGGCTGTAACATCAAGCTCGATTTCGACCTTGATGCAGTCCATATCTCTCAAAACTTAAAACATGAAATTTGTAGAGCTCTCTCTTAGGATTCCATATCACCTTGAATCATCTCAATCGGAACTAGGAGGAAGGAGTTATGTCCATATTACGAAGTAGTGTCTACACTGTCCAAAAATCTGTCTGGCAGACTACCTTTCGCTAATTTCATCATAACTCTTTATTGGAAAGTCCGAATTGTGCACCGTTATTTTTGTTAGAACCCTAACTCGTATATCTTTCCAACCATATAGGTTACACATCCTAGAAATACCTGAGTCAAATCAGTTTATTCTATGAAGTTGACCAAAAATCTGCACTAGGGTGCTCCTTGGATAGTAAAGGGTTGTGCTTTCTTATTAGATCTTGAAGGTGTAAAACCCCATATGTTTACATTAATATATTAATGTACTTGTTTAGTGATTCTTCTATATGTAATGACTTAAGAATAAACCATATATATATTAAAATCATAAGGATATCACCTATAGTAGTTCGAAGGAATAAAATAGAAATTTTAATGTTCCAAGTGTGAATTTATTTTAGTTTTGAAATAAATCATAAAAAGCAATGTTTTTAGGTTAAAATAACATTAAAAATGAATCCGGAACGTCGAAAAACCTTAGGGTAGTCGTATGGATCAAATTGGAGATTTCTAGTGGCAAAACTGTAATTTTGGAAAAAAACTCAAAATTCAGCCATGAACAGTGATTTGTCGCGGACTGCTGTGTTTAAAACACAGAATCCAGCCAATTTCTTCAATTTTTTCTCACATCTCTCACCCCCAAACCCCTTAGCACCCTTGGGGAAGATAGAGGAAAGGAGGAAAGGGAGAAAGGAGGTCATTAGAGCTTGAGTTTTTGGTTTGAAACTTTGATTCAAGGTAGGGGATTTCTTCTCTTTCTCTTACATTGAGACTAGGGCTATGTATACATATAGGTTTTTTTTTTGGATCTAAATCTTAGATGTATGTTAGGAAACCTTTGATTCTTGATGTCTATGCAAATATTATCATGTTCTAAACAATGTTATGGTTGGGTAACTACTTTCTCTTGTTTTTGCTCTCAACCCTAACTTTTGAGAAATATGAATTTTTCTCTCTATAGTCACTCAATCTTGGCTTTGAAAACTTTAGTGGTTTGTGTTGAGTAATAAATGATGTTGTGGTGATCTCTTGTATTTTCCTAATTGTTTATTGAAATTGCCTCATAATGGATTTGTGGATCTGTGGAAATTTGCATGTAAATTGGAGATTTATGGAATCCTTGGTTATGTGTGACGATTGTTGGGATGATGTGATCTTGTATGGTTGTTGGAATGAACATGGATGAGAGGTTCCTTGTAAGGATGCTCATTCCATCTCAAGAGGTTCCTGGTAAGGATGCTTGAGAAACCAAATCTTGAGGGTGAGAGGTTCCTTGTAAGGATGCTCACACCAAAAGAGGACAGTATGTGATTTTCTCAAGAGGTTCCTTGTAAGGATGCTTGAGAAACCAAATCTTGAGGGTGAGAGGTTCCTTGTAAGGATGCTCCCGTTAGAGAGGACAATATGATATCATGTGTGGGAAATGATTTATATTTTGGCAATGGATGTTTATTAGCACTTGGTTGAAATTGCTCCTTTCTATTACTATTGTTACTTAAACTTGAGATTCGTTGAAAAATGCTCCCGTTTCATTTCAAATTATGTATCTATGCTATGTTGAAAAATGAGACCGACCCTTTTATATATTTTTATAAACCTTGTATGAGTTGAGAGGATTTTGCTACAGAGCTTCGTGCTCACCCCCTACAAATAACATTTTCAGATTTCACACTTGAGGAGGAGTTAGGAGCCGAGGAGCCCGCCCATTGGGAGACTCAGCTTGAAGGGAATGTGGTCCCGAGGTGGACGCTTAGAGCGACACTTTTATTTTGTTCTAGACTAGATTATACTTAGAATATCCTTTTGAAGTCTAGTTCTTTTTTTTTGTTATTTTCGCTGCGTTATATTATTACATTGTGGAGATGTAAAGGCCAAGATGGACCTATTCTTTTGGGATGATAGTGTGGATATGACATATGATGAATGAAAGTTTATTTTATGATGGATAAATAGACCCGGTGTGGTCAATTGTAATATAATTGTACAGGTTGTGTTTTGGGTAAAGCTCCCCGTACAAAGGACTCTGCCCAAATTTTGTTAAAATATGAATGGTTGATGAATGAACTTTCGTCGTGATGAATTTACGTAATGCTCTCATGGGGTGAATGGTTTTTAGAATGTAATGTCACCCAAGGGGGTTTTTGGGGCGTTACAGGTTCTGGTTCTAGCTTGATGCTGCACTGGTTATTTAATGGTGCTCTTCGGTTTCAGCTCCGCTGGACTTCCAGCTGGTTTTAATGTTTCTCCAGCTGGATTTTTAGCCGTTTTTCATGCTTTTGCGCCATTCAGCTGATCCCTTGCGCCTTTGGCTTATGTAGAAGTTTTTCTTTGCCTTTTATTTTGTAGGTTTAAAGCCAACTACGACTTTTCCTTTGCTATTAAAGCTTTGTCGCTTTGCTTCTTGTAATCTTGGTTTTTATCAATGGCATTTGTCTTTTTTACCAACAAAAAAAAAAAAAAGGGTTTAGGGTTTAGCCAGCAAGGCAGTTCATTTGTTTTTAGTGAGAGAAGCTCCTCCTTCTCTCTTGTTTTTTTCCTTTGTTTCCTGCGAATTTTCTTTGCTTTTTCTAGCTGATCTGATCATCAATTTTGACTTCTGGTCAAACCCGAAGGCAAATTCCACCTAAGCCACCGGATTTTACAAAGATTTCTACTTTAGCCCCAAAGACCTCGTTGACTTCATTAACCCCTTTGAAATCGGTACAGTTTGCCGATTCTAAACAGGATGAGGCAATGCTTCTGGATCAAAGCAGGACAACGCCAAAACTCTTGGTATGCCCTCTGTAATTCCTTCGCTTCAACCTAGATCGGATATAACCAAAAATTTCGCATCCCCTTTTAAGAAACCCTCATCTTCCTCGTTGCCTTTGTGCTCTTTATTTCCTTCGGTCCCTTCGAGTTCCTCAGAACCTTCAGTCCCTCTAACGCTGATTGATGGGTCATCTTTTCCGGTCTCCTCTGCATCTTTAATCCGGCCAGCAAAACGGGTGGTTTATTGTTCTTTTTTGCTTCTTTTGCTCCACCTCCTCGTCATTCTTCTCTTATTTTTTTCTCTTATTATTTTTTGTTATTCTTTAGATTTTCATATTTATGTGCGTAACAAATCTATTTTGTGTTTTGATTTCAGTTGTTTGTGGAATGGATGTTTGCTTATGAAGGATTAAGAAGAGTTGTACGAGATAAATTTGCAAAGCGAGTTTATGATTGAAAAGATAAGTATATCTATTCGTCTTTGATCCATTGACTTTCTTTTATATGTAAAATGTGTTTTACACATGACTATTTTACTTGTTTTTGTGTCTTATTTGTTATGATAATTATTTCTATTATTTTTATCCCCCAAATCTCCTACAATTTTCTTTTCATTTTTCGTTGTTGTTTTCTTGTTTTTACACAACCTATTATTGCATCGAATTTCTTTGATTATATGTGTTTTGTTGGCTTTTCTATTTTAGAAATTATTTTTTATTTCTTTTTTTATTATCTTTCTATTAAAATTGTTAAATGTTGGAAACAAAGTTGAATTATTTGGAGAGATAGCAAAAAGATAAAATATGAAAGAACATTAAGAGTTTGTAGCATGTAGAAGTAACTAATAGAATATAGAAGTCAAAGAGAGCTCAGAGCTTAAGGCTTGGGGCATAGGTTTTTTTGGGGTTTTGGGTTAAGGTTTAGGGGCTAGGGGTTAGGGGTTATGGGCCTAAGGGATAAGAGTTAAGGGTTAGAGGTTTAGGGGTTAGGGATTTGAGTTTATTCTTCTTTTGCTTCTTTTGCTCCACCTCCTCATCATTCTTCTCCTATTTTTTTTTCTTATTGGTTTTTGTTATTCTTTAGATTTTCATATTTATGTGCATAACAAATCTATTTTGTATTTTGATTTTAGTTGTTTGTGGAATGAATGTTTGCTTATGAAGGATTAAGAAGAGTTGAACAAGATAAGTTTGCAAAGCGAGTTTATGAGTGAAAAGATAACTATATCTATCGTCCTAGATCTATTGGTTTTCTTTTATATGTAAAATATGTTTTACACTTGACTATTTGTACTTATTTTTGTGTTTCTTCTTTGTTATGATCATTCTTTGGTGGTCTTTTGGAAATTATGGAGGGCGCGATGTAAAAGAATCTATGATGATAATGCTCTAAATGCCCATGCCGTGTGTTTGGAAGTCTGTTCAGCTCTTAGGCTGCAAGCTCATGGTATTAAACCCAAAGCAACCGAAGGAATCATGGGCACGGAGTTTTTGAAGGCTTTAGAGGTTGAGGTGAGGTATGAGCTGAAACCGAAGATTGTTTGGGTCAACTGGTCTCCTCCTATTCCTGGTTACTTAAAACTAAATGTAGATGGGGCATCAAAGGGCAATCCAGGTAGAGCTGGGGGTGGCGCTGTGGTTAGGTATGATTATGAGATATATAAATTTTGTGACAAGTTGATATTTATTTGGACTCCTATTTTTAGAGGAAATTCCGTTAGAATTTTTTATAAAATTAGCAAAACCCATATTGAATTCAATTTCTCTTATTCAAGCAATGGAAGGAGAAATGTTCCAAATCAACTACTTTTTTTTATGTTAGATGGTATCTTCAGGCACCGGTTGTCTATAGTTTGGACATTGTTAGTATTGCATTAGGTTTTGTGTCATTTTGGGTTTAGTGTTTAGAGTTTAGGGTTTTAGGGTTTAGAATTTAGGGTTTAGGTTTAGTCAAGGGCAGTTATTGTTTTTCTAGTGAGAGAAGCTCTCACCACTCTCTAGGTTTTCTTTGCTTTTTCCTGCATTCTTGATCTTTATGCTTTGTTCTGCGCATTTATTATGACTGCTGATCAAAATCAGGGTCAAATCCCTCCTAAGCCACCGGATGTTTCCCTTATTTCCATCACAACCCCCAAGATTTCTTTAAATCCTTTAACCCAGTCAACATCGGCACACTTTACCGATATTGTTCAGAATGGGGCAAAAGCTTCAACAACGTTGCAAGATGTCACAAAGAACTCTTGTATGCCTCCTACAAACCCGAATCTACAATCTACAACAGATATTGCAAAAATCCTTCCACAATCGGTGCAATTGTCCGAGTTAGGCAGATGGTGCAAATGCTTCAGGATCGCAACAGGTAATCGCAAACTCCTGTGGTATCCTCCCCAAAAATCCCAATCTCCAACCCGGATCTGATATTACAAAAAATTTTGCTCCCCTTTTCAAAAAAAACCCCATCAACTTCGCCTCCTTTGGTGTTCATTTTTCCTTCGGCTCCTTCGAGCTCTTCGGATACACAGTCTCCACAGCCGATTGAAGGGGTCTCCTCTCCAATGCCTTCAGCATCCTATTTTAGGCCAGCCAAACGGGTGGTTTTCAATAACGGGGAACCTGGGATGTATTGGTCTTCTGAGGAAACTCAAACTCTCTCAAAGAAGTTCCACCAGACCTTAATAGGAAAATGCGCATATGGTTAACCATCAGTTGGTGTTATCAGGGAATTCATCACTACCAGATGGCTCCTGAAAGGCAACTTCACTGTCGGGGTCTTGGATCCAAGACACGCATTGATTACAATGAGGATTACGTCAAGACATGGTTAAAGGATGCTGTGACACCCCAAAATCTGGGGGTCCGTTGATTCCCCATCAACCCGTGGATACCGAGTAATTTGATATCACGCCATTATGCGCCATTTACTGGAAACCATAATTTTTTATGAAATTCGGGCAGAGTCTCCTTTGTACGGGAAGCTCTGCCAAAAACTCAACCTGTGCAATCATATAATAACAAGACCCATCCGAGGTCCAATATTCAACAATGACCACACCGGGTCCAATTATCCATATTTATATCAACACATGCAAAGTTAGTTTAACAATAGTCTATATAAGTTCTATTACAATTATTTGCAAAATATTACATGTCCAAAACATTATTTCCACAAATGTTTTACATTATCACAAAATAAAGCCACATTCGGCTTTCTTCAAACATGAGGGTCCAAATTGGAGCCATCTACCGATGTATCTCTCCCACCTGAAATGTTTTGCAGTATAAGGTGAGCTAACGCCCAGTAGAATAATCCCTCTAGAGGCTACTCTCCACCTTAGATGCATATGTGGTGTATATAAGCAACAAACAACATTTAACAATCATTCCATACAAGAATATGCATTAAATGTGGAATGTAATCATGTCATGCCATGAAATGAGATGATACTCACTCATACACTTAAACCCAAGTCATCATCGACTCCCACGACACAATGCAATGCCAAGGTATACTGAATCCGTCAATTGACGAAAAAATTCACCAAATGATCGTTTGAAATAAAAGTTGTTTTATTATAAAACCAAATCATTAATGGGTGTTACTCATTATATGAGTACTTTATAAATCAAAATCTTGTGTCTTGTTGGGCAACGGATTTTGGATTTTATACCGCCGGTTCCGTACACCATACTACACTTTTTTGGAATTTCACTACAGGGGAATGTATAACCAAGTCGCCGAGTCTTGCACCCGAGGGGGGAATCTACCCCTTCTTGCTATACCCGACACAAGTTTTTCTTTCATGCAACCATGTGACTCATTCAGATTTTCAACCTAACTTTTTCGAGTCTACCCATTAATCACCAAGAATGGTGTTTAATTAACCATGCATACACACATCCACACTCATGACTCATGCCCATGAATGTGATGCCAATTCCTTGTTCATATTGCAATGCATGCCAAAGGAACAATTTTTACACATCAATGTCTACCATGGCGATTTATATCATATGCTAATAATCCCCATAATTTCATCACAATGTCAAAACATCAACTAGCATGTGTCAACATTTATATTCAACACAATTGACAAGCATGTTATCACATAATCTATGTCAAAAACACACTTAATTTAAAAGACAAAATATAGCACATATTTCAGCCCACAAGAAAATCAACCCATAGTGGCCCAAAATTTAGCCACTAAACCGCCCCAAAATAGGCCCCAAAATAGCCCCAAAGTAGGCCTTAAAACAGCCCCAAAAACAGTCTGTATACAGCCCCTAATTAGTGCACAAAACAGCCCCAATTTCAGCACCAAAACAGTCCGTAATTCAGCCCCTTAACAGTCCAAAATTCAGCCCCTTAACAGTCTATTTGGACAGCCCACATATAAACCATTTTCAGCCACTAAAAGCCCACTTAAGGTAAGAATAAAACCAAGGTAGGAGCGAACCCTACCTCTTGTAGCGTGTAAGAAGTGGTAGAACTTCTAAAAAACACCAAAACAAGCCCAAGAACCTTTGATTCCTCCAAAGTCTTTTCTTTGCACCTTCGGTGAAATCCACTTTTCTTGGTACGTACACGTAACCCTCGTCGAGGAGATGAACTTTGATTCTTGACTCGACGAATTCCGACCGACGAAACTCCGAGAATCTTGGATTGAAGCTTGAAGAACTTACTTGTTTTTCTCTCTTTTCATTCTCTTCTCTCTATGGCCGGCCAAGGGTCAAGAACATGAGATATTTTTTCCAAAATATTTAAGTCAAGTAGGTATTTATAGTCCTGAATGTGTGGTCCACATCGCACCGCATATTTCAGACTTCCGGGTCCGTTTTTCGTTCCGAAACGATTTGTTATACCTCAGATTTAGTTAAAATTAATTGTATTGGAACTTTAACTTGATTTTAAGAAAAAAATTAAAAAATTCATTTTTGGGGACCTTTAAAATGTCATTCGCCTCGTAGTTGCCTTGAACAACGTGCAAAAATTCGTCTATCTCGAAATTCGACGAAATTTGACAGGGTGATTAGATTTTGCGATACGAATCCAACGGCGAACTTCGTTTCCTCAACCGAGGTCTAGAACATGAGTATTTTAAATACGCATTAGGATGACAAATTACCATTTTACCCTTTCTAAGAAAAAGTTCAAATTTTCCCGAGTTTCACAGATGCAACACACATCGAGGGCTTCTTGTTCAGGTTCTTCAAGTGGTTTTCGGAGTTCCTGCCTGGGATTGAACCACCAGTGGTTCCTATTTGGATTTCTCTCCCAGGTTTGCCAATTCACCTCTTTGATAAGGAGAGCCTTCGGGACATTTTGAGTCCCATCGGGAGAATCCTTGTAATTGACTCACCCACCCTCCTATTATCTAGGCCAGGTGTGGCTAGCGTATGTGTCGAAGTTAATTTATTAGCTGATAACCCATCTCGTCTTTGGCTGGATTTTGGCGGAACAAGTGGGCGTTGGCAAAAGATTAATTATGAAAAATTGGTGAAGTATTGTGCTGGGTGTTTGAAAGAAGGCCATGGGATGCTCGAGTGTCGTAAAGGCAAAAGGGAAGAGGAAAACAAAGTGGACAAACAGGCATACAACCCTAAGGAGGAAAGAAAGCAGAAAGCTGGCATCTCGAAAAAAGACGAGGACCTTAAGGGGAAAGATAAGGCATGGCAGAAAGTCACAAAAAAAGCGAATTCCAAAGTAACCGTGAAAGAGGGTCACCAAGCACCACAGTTCTCGAATCCTATAAATTTAGATGTAGGAGGAGAGGAGGATGCCAATAAATTTAATGTGTTAAGAGGAGAGCATTCGGGCAAGGATGTCGCAGAGGAGGGAAAGGATGAAACGCAAAATCATAACGGGGATTCAATTACTTAAAAAAGCACTGTTGTAAGTTCTGAGGCAAAAAACAAGGAGGATTTGGTTACTGTAACACCGGATGAGGAGAGGTTACAGGGCGCAGAAAAGGAGAAAGAAATGTCATTAATGGAGGTATCTCCCGAAAGAGGTGAAAAGGGTATACAGAACGGTATGGATAATGCTCTATTTTCTCAACCTCAGGCGGAAGGGTCTAAAGAGGTGCAACAGATGGCAGGTACAGTAATGTGCTCGTTAAATAAACAATCTCATTCACCTACCTCATCTTCTTTCTTTGTGGATCATCTGTATGAGCTAAGAGTCAGACAAAATTACACCGTGGATGACGAAAGTGGACTCAGGAGGGATAAAGAACCACCAGACAGGGGCTTTTACTCTGATCAAGAAAGCTCAAAAAATTGGGCTGATTCAAGTGAAGATGCCACTGTAAATGAAGATCAAGGAATTATCTTGCTAAACCAAACAACAGTGAACTACTCCGACTGCAGTACTGGGCATAGTCCCAGAGGTAATGATGAAACAAATTCTTTATGATGAATTTCCTAATGTGGAATGTAAGGGGTGCTGGAAAAGAGAGCCTAAGAAGCAAATTAAAGAAATTAATTGTAATGAATAAGGTGATGTAAGGGGTGCTGGAAAAGAGAGCCTAAGAAGCAAATTAAAGAAATTAATTGTAATGAATAAGGTGAGTCTTCTCGCTGTTATTGAACCAAAAATGTCCCATACCAAACTAAGGAATTTTGGTCTTGCTGTTGGGTTAAATTCTTTTATGGCAAACACAAAGGCAGAGAAAAATATGTGGCTTTTATGGAATGATAACTTGGAAGTTAAGAGCATGCTGCACTTTGAACAAGCTATGACCGTGTCAGTCTCCTACCAGGGAGCTGATCCAGTGTTAGTTACGGTGGTGTATGGTTGTTGTGACTTACTTGTTAAGGAGGCCCTTGTGGGGACACTTACAGGTTATTTCTACATCCTTTGCTATGCCCTGGTTGGTGATGGGGGATTTTAACATTGTGATGAGGTCAAATGAAAGAATGGGGGGGTGCCTCTCCATCTGTGTTGGCAATGGATGAATTTGGGGACTGTATTCAATCGGAGGGGCTAATTCGAGAATGTGGCAACGGCTGGACAGAATGTTTGCTAACGCTGAGAACTTCTTCCTCAAACTAAAAATGCTAAAGTTTAATATCAAAAAATGGAACAAGGAGGTGTTTGGGACATTTTTGAAAAGATTAGTATGCAGGAATTGGCTTTGCGAGAGGCAGAACGTTCTGTGGATGATAACTACTCTGCAAGAAAGAATCTAGAGGAAACACTTAGGTTGGAAGAATTGTACTGGAGACAAAAAGCTAACATAAAATGGGCACTACACGGGGAGAGGAATACCAAGTTCTTTCATGCTTTGGCCAAAGGGAAGGCTGTGAGGAACAGACTGATGAGGATTAAAGGTGAAGATGGTGAATGGTGTGACTCTGAGGAGGAGATCTCTCAACAGGCCACAACCTTTTTTGCTAAACTGTACATGTCAGAGGACCATGGGCTTGATGAAGAGCTATTTGGGGTTATTCCTAAACTTGTTGGACCAGCGGCTAACGAGATCTTGACTATGACTGCTACCTTAACCGAAGTGAAACAGGTTGTCTTTTCTATGTCTGTGGAAAGCGTCCCTGGCGCTGACGGTTTTTCTGGTAGATTCTTTCAAGTAGCATGGGATATTGTTAAAAGCGACCTTTTGGAGGCGGTTAATTTTTTCTTGAGTGGGGGAGTGATTCCAAGATCTGTTAACTCCACACTCCTTGTGTTTGATTCCAAAAGTGATGAAGCCTTGCTCTTTCACAGACTTTAGGCCCATAAGCCTATGCAATTTTTTGTACAAAGTCTTCACGAAGGTCCTATCCAATAGACTTGTGGCTCTCATTCCGTCTCTGATCTCAAATGCAAAACACGGTTTTGTCAAAGGGAGAGGGATTGGGGATTGTATTTCTTTAGCACAGTTAATGGTGGGCGAGCTTGATAGAAAAGTCGAAGCAGGCAACGTGATTCTTAAATTGGATATGATGAAGGCATATGACCGCATTGGTGTGGGACTTTTTGGAAAGAACTTTGGGCTGTTTTGGTTTTTCAAACTTATTTGTTTCCATCATTGGTAACTTCCTAAAGAACCAATTCTTCTCGGTCTGCTTGAATGGGAAAAGATTTGGCAATTTTCCTTCGTCTAGAGGGTTGAGACAAGGTGGCCCAATCTCACCTGCTCTCTTTATTTTGGCCAAGGAAGTGTTAAGCAGGGGCTTGATGAAGCTGTATGGTGAAGGCAGAATCAAGGCTTTTCATGCAGGGAGGGGTGCTCTTCTTATTTCTCATCCTCTTTTTGCAGATGACACTCTGTTGTTTCTTAGGGGGAATAAACTATCCATGGAACAAATGGTGAGATTTTTGGCAAGATACGAGGAGTGCTCTGGTCAGAGAATAAGCAAGCAGAAAAGTTCCTTAATCTGCTCCTCCAAAATTCCCCTGGTCAGGAGAATGACACTTTCCAAAATTGCACAAATTCCAATTAAACAATGCCCCTTCACCTACCTAGGCTGCCCCATAATTAGAGGAAGATATAAACTCCGGGATTTTGAGGAAGTGGTTCTAAAATTCAAGGCTAAATTGGAAGGGTGGTATGCATGCTTGCTATCAAACATGGGCAGAATTGTATTGGTTCAATCGGTCCTCAGTGCAGTCCCTATTCACTTGCTCTCTTGTCTTAGGGTGCCCAAAGGCATCCTGGTCAAGTTGAAGTCTTTGATGGCCTCCTTTATTTGGTCAGGCAGGATGGGGGAGAGGAAAAGGCATTGAGTTTCAAGATATTTTAAGACCCAAGCAAGAGGGGGGCTTGGAATTCGTAAATTTGAGGACATCCAAACTGCTTTTCGATGGAAGCAGGTATGGGGAATTCTAAAGGGTGACTCTCTTTGGGCGAACATGTTTAGAGCAAAATTCTTAAAAGGCAAACACATGTTATGATGTCTGGGCACTGCAAAAGCTCGTACATTTCGAATGCTGCAACCTTTCTTTTGCTTGGTTATGGAGAACTCCTAGGTTTTGGTGGGAAACGGGAAGTCTGTGGATTTTTGGTGCACGAACTGGGCAGGATCTGGCCCTTTATTGCTCAGGCACGATGTCTCCCCCTCGAGCTTTCTAAGTCTAGATGCGATATGGGCAAGAGGGGACTGGTAGTGGCAGTTATTGGGAGTCCAGATTTCTGAGCAATTAAAGCACGAAATCCATAACTCTGGGATTCGTTTATGTGGCAAAGAAGATCGATTGATATGGAAATTAACCGAGTCGGGAGAGTTCAATGTCAAATCAGCTTGGCAGGCGGTGAGAACTTCAAATAACCCTGTGCCTATAACCTCTGCGATCTAGAACCAATCTGTCTTTCCAAGTGCAAAACTGCTGGGATGGAAGATACATATGAAAGCTGTGGTGGTGGACTCAAATTTCCAACGTATTGGCGTTGAATTGGCCAGTAGATGCCCTCTATGCCATCAGGAAGTGGAAACTACGACTCACCTATTCACACAATGCAACTTTACTAAAGAGGTTTGGGGGAAGCTTGCTGCCTTTTGTGGATTTCAGATTTTCTCGGCTGAATCTCCCATGGTTCGTATGATGAGGTTGATTAGAATTTAAAAAAAAAACTCTGTTAGCAATAACCTATTAAGAGGTACTTCACTGGTGGTCTTTTAGAGACTATGGAGGGAGCGATGCAGAAGAGTCTATGAAGATATCTCACTTTCGGCCCATGCTGTTTTTCTTGATATTTGCTCCTCTTTGCGTCTTCGGGCTTATGGTACTCGTCCCAAGGCAAAGGAAGGCATGATGGGGATGGATCTTTTGAGGGCCTTAAAGGTGGAGATGAGGCAGGAACTGGAACCAAAAATTATTTGGATTAACTGGTCCCCTCCTCCCTCCGGTTTTTTAAAGCTAAATGTGGATGGGGCATCGAAAGGAAATCCTGGAAGAGCTGGGGCTGGAGCTGTGGTAAGGAATGAATGGGGGCACATTGTCTTGGCTGCTTCTTTTTTCTATGAGGTTTGTTCAAACATGGAGGTTGAGCTTTATGCACTCAAGGATGGTTTATTGTTGTTTAGAAGTTATGGGCTGTTAGACTGTGGCCTTCTGATTGAAACTAATTCAGCGGTGATGGTCCAAATGGTGATGAAAGGGCACATGAGGGCCCGGAAGTTTTGGAAGATTTGTGATGAGATCATGGAGTTATTGAAGGGCATGAATTTTAGTTTGGCTCATGTATACAGGGAAGCAAATTGCTTAGCTGACTGTCTTGCAAACCTTGCTGTTTTGGAGGGTGCCTCTTCGGATTTCACACGTGATTTGAAGATTCCTTTCCGGGCAAAATTAATTCAGATCCAGGATCAACAAGGTGTTAAAACGTCAAGGAAAAAGTTTACTAATTTTTGATTCTTTGGTTTTTACTTATGAATCATCCAATCGGGCTGGGGCTTTTGTTTCTCATTGCTTGGCTTCTCGCAGCTGGTGTGTTTGCTTCCTTTACCCTGCTGGGAAGCTTAGGCAACATTTGTACATTAAATGCAGCTGGGGGGGACATTCCGGTGGCTTTTTTGCTGTTTTTGGTCAGGGAGTACTATTCACGCGACTGTTCACGTGAACAGTCTGCTTCCTGCTGCTGGCGGTTTTTCTCAGCTGACCTCTACTGATATTGCAGCTGCTGTGGGTGATTTTCAGATGGTTTTCAACTGTTTTTGGTCATGACACACTGTTCACGCTACTGTTCACATGGACAGCCTGTTTGCGGCTACTGATGGGCTCTTTCAGCTGGTTTTTTCTGGATCTCAGCTGGATTTTGTGCTGATTTCAGCTGGGGATCGTGGCTCATTTTGTTGCTACAGCTGGTTTTATCAGACTTTATCTTTGGTAAACATTGAAGGCTTTCCACGGTTCTGCTCAGAGGGTTTTCCAGCTGGTTTTCCATGATTTCTTTGTGGTTCTCTGCTGGTTCTTATGGGCTCCACTTGCTGCTGTGATTGCTGTGCTGTTTTGATGGTGTCAATGGTTCATGTGCACAGCTTTCTTGTCGCTGCTGCTGGCCACCTCTGGTCTCTTTTTCTTCAGCTGGTTTTGCTGATTTTCTCATGGTCTCTCAGCGGTTCTTTCATCTGCTTGACGCTGGCTATTGGTCTGCTGCTGTGGGTTTCTCTGTTGCTGCTTCCTTCGGCAGTCAGCTGGGGATTTGTTCTCAGCGGGCTCTCAGTTGCTGTGTTGGTTCTGGGCTTATGTTCATTCCTCATGGTTTTCATCATCTCGCAGTTGCTGTCTCTTGGGTTTCCAGCTTTCCTCCAGCTGAATTTTCTGGATCTTCAGCTGGACTCTCAGCTGGCTTTTGCTGGCCTTCATGTCCCATTTTATGTCCTTTTCTTTTTTGATGGTTTATGCCACATTGGCTTCCTTGTTTTTGTTAAAGCCCGGCTTCCTTGCTTCTTGTAATTTCTGCTCATTTCAATATATCCTCCTTTTTTTCAAAAAAAAAAAAATAGGGTTTAGGAAAAGCATGGTGAGAGTTGTGGTGAATGTTGGAATATTTGGGTCGCCGGAGTTGGACTCCAGAGAGAAAGGGAGGAGACAAATTGTTAGAGCAATTACTGAGATACCTCGGCGTAAGAGATTTTGGGGATGAGCTGGGCATGAGAGATTTTGGAGATTTTGGGGATGAGTAGGGAAGATTTTGGGGGATGAGTTTGGAAGGCAGAGGATGAGATTGAGAAGGATTCTGAGAGAGATTTTAGGGGAAGATATGGGGGAATCAGAGGAGACTGGGGCGTCAGTCAAGCAAAAAGCCCTTATAATTAAAACAGGAATTTTGTTGGGCGGGGAAACTAATTTCGGTAATCACAATATACCGTTAGATCAAAATTTTTGAAATGATCTGAACCGTCTTTTATGTTGAGATTACATTGTCCGTCGGATGTGCTTATGTTTTGTCTCAAAACGATCTGAACCACTCTGTCTCTTGGATTCAAACTCAACTCTACTTTATTATATAGATTATAGCATTGTATATTAAATTTTATCACAATTGACCTAGATAATCTTAATACAGTAAGGTTCCAATATGATTAATTTATTGATAATTATTTTTATTTTATTAAATGATTTATAAGTAAAATCTTAATCAAATTAATTTTTAATTATTTATTCTTTATTTATAAATGTCAATTTTTATGAAACTTTTTGACTTATTATATTACTCTTCAAAAATATATGCATTATTATAAGTTTTAACAAAATATTAAAAAAAAACCTTCAAAAACTCCATTAATATAATATTACTCATCTCATTTATAAAGATAATATTATGACTACGTATGTATATTTTATTTTTCATCAAAACCATTTTATTTTTAAGAAAAAAATAATGTATATATAGTTTTATATAATTTTTTAGTTATAGTAAACTTTTTAAACTATGTTATATCAAATAATAACCGATCATTTTTCTTAAAGTTAGAATAACCAATCTTGAAAATATACAAAATTTTCAAAAATTCTATAATGGAGCATGAGCAATGAAAAAATAAATTTGGTAAAATTGAGATGATATTTAATTCAAACATATATACCAAATAATTATTTATTAATTTTTTTAAAAAAAATTAGTCACTTGCAACGCACGTGGCGCATTGCTAGTACAAATATATGTTTTATTTACACTTTGAACAAGGACTTCATTTTGACTAGAACAAAGGTTTGAAATCATAATATTCAATGATCGAGATTTAAAGCATATTTAAGCATATATCAATATCTAGTGTGTGTCACACCCTGTTCCATAAAATGAGAAACATGAGTTTAAAACCATAATAATTATACTTAGGTTACTCCGATTTTATTAGAAAATATCTATATCTATACTA